GCGTACCCACCATGATGTCTCTGAAAAACAACACAAAATCATCAGAGACTCGCTCGAGCATACTCACACTTGATCACTCGCCCCTACTTGTTCCTTAGCATCCTAAGGATTCTTACTTGGACCGCTCACTTTTTCGGTGTTTCCAGTAGTACGGGCACAATACTACCTTCCACACCGCGTCAGTGTTCACCCCAAGTCCTCCTCCTGAGATCCCAATTACAAGTACTATATGCCCTACCAACTACTCTCACAGTAGTCCTCTCATTGGCTCGCTCTTGCTAAATACTCGTACTCAAAACAAATCACTGATAGTATAAATCCCTAGACTAAGGCATCACAAATCAGGCCACCCTGGTCCTAATATATGAATTACCTAGCCTATTCTCTAGCATGCATTATATCTCATAAAATATCTCGTAACACAAAATGAGGGTATTTTGGGAAATCACCGCTCGGCTCTGGCTGATTGTACACACTGCTCCGGCTCGTCTTCTCTTAAACTCTTTCTCATTTTTAGAAAAATTTATCTCTTTTGAAAATCTTTCTCAAATCCTCAGTTTGAGTCCAAACACACCTGGGGGTGCATCCGAATCCCTCAAACCAAGGCTCTGATACCAACTTGTAACGACGTAAATTATCAACAATTTTTTTTTTTCATTTTCAAACACAATAAAACTCATTTCATAATTCTCAAAATCACATATGTCTCAAATGTCAACAAGTAAAACACAATCCCAGAATCATAAAAACAATCTCCCGCCAGTGTGTATAATCATGCCGGTGCCTTGCCGCGATCCTCAGAACTACCTGAAACACATAACACATAACACGGTAAGCATAAAGCTTAGTGCGTTCCCCAACGTACCACACACAACACATCAGCCACTTGAGGCTATAACTCAATAAGACCCTCCGGTCAATGTGTCTCAGTGGGACCCTCCGGTCCCACAACTCAGATGGACCCTCTGGTCCCTCAACTCAGCAGCTCAGTATAATTCACAGTAAACATATCACATAACAAATAACATGATATCTCAATACACAGCTCATTCACATAAGACCCTCTGGTCACACATAAAATTACCACTCAAGGTAAGTATAGTGAGAAGACTCACCTCGTAAGCTAGCAAAAGAAAACCTCGAACTCGGAATCTCGAACTCTACCCACCAGTCTAGCCTCCGCCTAGCACATAATAATTATCCCTAATCAATATTGGTTCTCAAGAACTAGACTAACCCTTTTACACTCATAGAAGGGTGAAAAGACCATTTTACCCTCCATAGGCTCAATAGTCCACACCTTTGACCAAACCCTAAAAGTCAACAAAAGTCAACGGCAGGGAGTACGCTGCATGTACTCAATCTCTATGCTGCGCGTACTCGGCTTCCATGCAGGTATCGGGGATGCTCGACCCCTACGCCACACGTACGAGGTTTACGCCCAACGTACGCCCCAATCCCACTCTCCTCACATTTTTGGTCTTAACCAGTTAAGACATAGGCTCATATCTCAGATCTGGACTCTCTAATGTCTCTTAAACCGTAAAGTCAGTGACTTTAAGCCTTTGCATGGCTGATTGGGTCTCTAACACTCAAAACATCCATCATCTTTCCTCATGAAGCTCATATCTCATGCCTGGCTTACTCCTAACGTCCAAGATTGGATTTTTATCACTCAAGTCCACAAAATACACTAGAAAGGGGCAGATCAAGGTCTTTGGAGCTCATTATCACATAAAGCCTCCATCTTTTGGGACAAAACCCTAAAATACTCCATGAAAATACACAAAAAGAGATAGTGATAAAGCTTGGAGCTTTATACCTCTATGTGAAGCTTTCATCACTTCAAAGCTCAGATCCAAAAGCCTGGACTCTCACTCTTCTTCTCCAAAGCTCCTTCTCCTCTTCAAGATCACAAGAAAATGCTCACAAGCTCTCCAATGCACTCTCCAGCTAAGAAGACGAATATTTAGGGTTAGGAAGGTTTGGAGTCTGGGATTGGTGGCCAGGAATGAGGCCATCACTTCCTTTATATAGGGCCACACCTCAAATTAGGGTTTCCATTCTAGGCCTAGTACGCCCAGCGTACTAGGTGGCCTCCACGTCCAAAGCACGCACATAAGTACGCTGAGCGTACACTGTAGTACGCCCCGCGTACCCATTAATCACTTTTCTCTACCAAGGGCCTAATGAAACAAATGCTCAATAGACTAAGGTTCGCAAGGAATACCTGGACTTGGGGTGTTACACCAATAGCCACACAACAAGCTTCGAAATGATCCATCAAATCAGTTATGATGTGAGTGTAAGCATGCAGGTTAGTTTACCTAAGGTTGTGAAGTTAAACAAGCAGGTTGTTAAAGCTTTATTCGTGCTGACTCTCTGAGAAACTCATTTTGAAGCAATTTTATAATAGATAATTACAAATTACTTTGTTGAAGGTAAGGTTATAAGCGCGCACACACACACACACACATACACACTGCAACACTCAGTTTCGGATTTGCTTCTTTATTCGGGGTTGCGGCCTAATCTTCAGTGGTCATGAGGCTTAGGGCCTTGAGGAAGGAAGAATTTGGCCCTTCTCGGGTGTGGGTGTTATGGTTTAGTGATTCAAGTGTTCGATTGTGTCTTCGGAGGTCAAGGGTATAATTGTAACTCGATATTTCAGTATTTTATGAATTTTGGATTTAACTTCGGTTGGTTTTCAGGTTAAATAAAGTTAATAGAAGTGTAGGGCTTCTCGTTACATTTTCGTGCATATAAAGAACGTCGAAAATGTTGGGTTTTGAGCATTCTAACACTCCTAAGTGTACATGCAACCCTAAATACCTTGGATCTATGTTTTCTCTATTATACATGCAAATTTGAACTTTCCAAGGTATTCATCCTAACTAGCATAATAACATTGATTCATATGAATATATCAAGTTAGAATTACATACCTCTTTGACGTAGAATGACTTCATGAAGCTTAAGTGCCTAGTGCCCCAAGTGTGACACCTCAAATGGTTCACACAACACCAAAATACACTTGGAATAACTTGAGAGAAAATGGAACACTTCATAAAATCGGCTAGCCCTTTCTATCCCTCATAGTCACCGATTTTGTCAACAATAAGATGCTTATATAGTTAGTGATAATTAGGGTAAACCCTAATTGTCATGGCTTTCCATTTCCTTGGATCCATGGGTTCAAACATACCATGGAGCATCTTATGGGTTTTAGCCCAACTTGACAATCCATGGAGCATTAGCCCACTATACAAGTATGGGTGATTTACACAATCAACCCATATATTTAATTAGTCTTCTTTTGATCACTTAATTAATTCTAGATTAATTCTTGATCAATACTAATTAAATAATCTTATTAATATATTATAACTTATAATATATTAACAAACCTTAAGTGTTATTTCTCTCATTACAGTCTATCCAAATGCATGATGCCATGCAACCCAAATGGACCATGCCGGGTCGGGTCAAGTTGTACCAATTATAGTTATGGACTTAGACATTAATCCAACAGAAAACGGATAAGGGATGCAAAAGTTATGACCATTTGAAAATAGAGGGGTGTTGGGCCAAAATGGGTACGCATGGTGTAAACCAATGTTTTAAAACCCGGGTCGACCCGACCGGTTCAACCAGTTGGACCGTGACCCGGGGTAGAAGACGGGTCAATTGAGAACGATTTTTTGTAAAAATACGGATCGGATCGAACCGGCCGGGTTTCCCCTAAACCGCGGTTCGACCGCTTATGTTGAACCGGTTAAAACCGGATTGACCCGTTTTAATAAGGATTGGATAGTTGGATACAAGTAACGAACACCAAAACAACGAATCGTTTGCGGTTTCTTCAATGTTTTTCAATGTTTAAACTTTGTGGACATCAAATTATTAGTTTTATATGTTTATGCATTATGCGGGAAAGTAAAAATATATAAAAATAGAAAAAGATCATAAACCGGGTTGACCCGGCGGTTCAACCGGTTGAACCGGTTGACCCGTGAACCGGTCATCACACCGGGTCAACTAAAAACCCGGGTTTTAAAACATTGGCGTAAACGGAGGTACGCATGGCATACATGGGAATTTGGACGTGGGTGCATTTGAGAACGCTCTGTGTTCCCCAAGGGAACGCATTGCGTTCGTCAGACAGATTAAAATAGAAACAAAAGGTAAAAAGGTAAAAAAAATCAGATTGTTGAAAAATAAAGTTAAAAAATAAAAATAAATAAAGTATATAAAAAATAAAAAAATAATATATATATATATATATATATTATATATATAATATATATATATCTATATATATATATATATATATATATATATATATTTATTTATAAAAAAAACCGAAAATAAATAAAGTATACAAAAAACGAAAATAAAGTTAAAAAACCATGTGGTGTAATTTTTTGCAAACCTCAGGGACCAAATTTGAACTGTTTAGGACTGATTTTGCAAAAAGTTAACAATAAATCTCGTTAAGTGGGCTAGACTGATAATTCTACGAGAAAGTTTGGTCATAGTAATAATAAAAATAATATTAAGGTTTTTTTCAATTACACGTTAAAAATTTAGGACTTTTATAGTATTAGTCGTATGTATATATATATATATATATATATATATATATATATATATATATATATATATATGAGAAAAAAAAATACTGGAGTTATAATTCGGAGTAGGAACTTCGGAAGGGAGTCCAAACTCCGAAATACTATGTTCCGGATCAAATTGTCATTTTTATTAAAATGATCGTTTATTAATGTTACATTACTCAATTTTTTTTTTAATTTAACTTTAAAAAACCCGGTTTTGAAAAGAACGATTTACATATTAGCTGGGTTGGATTTCTATTTTCCCGAACCGTTCTTACATATTCATTCGCAATCGAATTTTTATACCCACCAAATTGGCCCATGAAAAATGGCCCAACCCGATCCAGTTACAAGTCTTTTTATATTGATTAGAGTCAGAGGTACCTCTGCTTCGATCGTGGAATCTTGTGATAGAATCGACTTTTAATCGTTTGCTCGGATTTGTCCGCTCTTTTTAGGGTTCTTCTATCCTCTTTTTACAGACCCTAATCGTCGGATCAGGTACTCCTTCTCACCATCTTTGATTGATTCTCTTAACCATGGTCATCGTATTTATCATAACAGATATGATTATGGCTGTTTTATCTTATTTTCTATGATTAGAATATACAACCGCCTAAAATCCGTAGCATTTTCAACAATTCCATCTGGGTTTGTCCCAAGTCGTATGATTGATCGATCTTTCAATTGTACTTTCAACCGTTCTATGATTCCTTTTGTCTTGAGATTTTGTATTCGTTACTGTTTTATTCATAGGTAGTTTTCGTTTAGGGTTTATTTCGGAAAAAATTGTCATGCTAGTTCTTGGATTCGGCATATATATGAGAGTTTGTGCGATGTTCTTTGTGAAATATTAGTAGGTTTAGCGAACGATCTCAAAAGGATTATTAGGAGTCGAAAATTCAGATAATCGGTTGATTGAAGTAAACTATAGTTTGATTTGCAATCTTTTACTTCGAGTCTCCAAATTTATTAGTTTATCCTAAACAATCAGCACATCAGAATCATAATCATAATCTGCCAAACATCGTTTTGATCATTGCAACTTCAGCCACCCCTTAATGCGTTTGTGTTCTTTAGCTTGCTGGCAATTTAACCCACTTTTATGTTAAAACGGCTCATTTTGGATCATTTTTTCCTGTCAAATAGGTAAAATTTAGAAAATTCAGCTAAAAATGAAGCATGGTTAACAATTTGCTCAAATTGTACAAGTATTACTATTTACAACCTTCTAAATTGCTTAATTTAAATAATTGGACCATCATCTTGATAATTGTTTTGTTTTTTAATCCAGATCCGTGCATCGGTTTTATCAATAAAACCTTGGGTTGATTTTTTCACTTTATCAGCAAAGTTTCATGTCTGACCTCGACATCCAGATTCCTAGTGCCTTTGGTAAGTACTTTGGATGTTCATATCATACACTAATAAACTGATTATTGCAACTCATTTCTTGATTTATCGGTACATTAATATTATCACAACAATATTCCTTGAAGAAAGAATTTTTGTAACAGAAGAAGCTTAAAATGTAATCTTGGTTATACTATACAGACCCTTTTGCTGAAGCAAATGCTGAGGATTCTGGAGCTGGGTCAAAAGAGTATGTGCACATTCGTGTTCAGCAGAGAAATGGTAGGAAAAGCTTGACAACTGTTCAGGGACTTAAAAAGGATTATAGCTACAACAAGATTTTAAAGGACCTCAAAAAGGAGTTCTGCTGCAATGGCACTGTTGTTCAGGACCCTGAGTTAGGCCAGGTGTCTATTAATTCATTCTCTTTTATTAAGTATTATAAATACTAGTATATTTGGAATCTTTTTAGCAGGAAATAGCAATATACTCACCCTTATTTACCCAAAATTGTAGCGAGATTAAAGTATGTTGGTATTAGCTGTAATTTTTCCTTCTTTTTTTGATAATTTTAATGTTGGTTTTGAAGGTCATTCAGCTCCAAGGTGATCAGCGGAAGAACGTCTCTAGCTTTCTTACTCAGGTGACAATTTTAGCATTTTTGGAGTTACCATTAAACTTATTATAATTCATTTTTGAATAATTGGCTGGTTTTTGATATCACAACCATCTCCGTAATTAATTGATATAATTAATTGTTACTCAAATTATAAAAAATGAGATATAATTAATTGATTGTTATTTGGGCTTACGGAAAATGTTGTTTGTTGTGGACAGGCTGGAATAGTGAAGAAAGATCATATCAAGATTCATGGTTTTTAAGCGTCAAATGTGTCTGTCATCTACGACTGCGAGTAGTATATTGTGAACTTTAGTAGGATATGGATATGGTTTATTATATTTGGGTTTCACTATTGCCATTAGGTATAGTGATAGTGTTGGTCTATCTGTGGAATGATTGTCACAATATTATGCTAGCCTTTGAAATTAACCAAATAATCATCGCAACCGACATAAGAATGCTTCTTATCGTTATTGCTATCTTGCTTTTCTTTTGCAAAGTAATCATTATATCTTTTAAAATTGTTACAAGATTTAATTATCTTGTTTATAATTTTTTTTTATGAGAACCACTTAAAGTTGTTTAAGTTAATTCGATTTTTAGTTGTTATCTAAAAATTTATTAAAGGAAACTGATTCGTACACAACATTTTTTCTCCGTACACAATAATTTGTAGTTTAATGTTAATTGATTTGTACACAACATTTTTTTCCGTACACAATAATTTATAGTTTAATGTTAATTGATTCGTACACAACACTTTTTCTCCGTACACAATAATTTGTAGTTTAAAGTTAATTGTACGACTCTTTAAAGTGTTTATTAAAATGACACTTAGGATAGTAAGTATAAAATTTCGAACACCTATTACGTATTTGCCTGTGTTGGTAGGCTTTTTGTTACTCTATTGGTGAAATGTAAGTACATTACACATGCTTGCCAGTCAAGGACTTTTTTGTCCTCTTATACTCATTTTCCATTATTTTCTAAATTCAATTGCATGAACTACAAATGTCTTTAATACTTTCACAAAATTTAAATAAAGATAACACATATTTTGATGTGAAAATAACATAATATAGACTAGAGTATAGAATGACCGCTATTAACATTAACAAAGTTTAATATATCAAATTTAAACTGTTAAGTCCTAAATAAAGTAATTGACTTAATATACAAATTACGTTTTACACTACTAAGCTAAGGAATCTACTAATCCAGATATGATATATGTGTGTTTCGACTGTTGATTAGGTTCAAAAATAAATAACTTAAAACTCAAACTAAAATTTTAATTTGTTATCAAATATGGATTAAACACCAAATGGCAATCCACTGAGTTTTTTTTGCTTTGGATTCAGATTTTTGGAATTTAAACCTGGATATTCGACAATGGACATTGACAATATGAAAAAATATCTCTTCTAAATAAAATATCTAAAAAGTATTAAAAAAACATTTATTAATTTCGGAAACTACCCTACTTCACTCTTAATAAAAATCCAAAAAGTAGTGGTAAAGAGCATCGTACCGATTCTACACCTTTCACACCATATCCTTCCCTTCCGTCGCGATATTTTGATTTCCGTCACTATAAATCCGAACAGCCGTCTCTAATATTCCTCCGTTCATCTTCCACTGCTCACCACTCCACCACCCTTTTCTCTCATCGTTTTTTAGATCATCAATGGCGGCCATGGCTACCACCTTTACAACATCCATCTCCACCAAGGCAAAGACCAGCTTCTTGGAACAATCCTCCTTCCATGGAGTTCAGATTTCTTCCCCAATTCGTCTCCAACCACTCAAATCCACACAAAACAAAATGTCGATCACCATCTATGCAGCTTCTACGCCTTACGATCTTAACTCCTTCACTTTTCAACCGATTAAGGAATCGATTGTGTCTCGTGAAATGACCAGGAGGTACATGACTGATATGATTACCTACGCTGACACTGATGTCGTCATCGTCGGTGCTGGATCCGCTGGTCTCTCTTGCGCTTATGAGCTCAGTAAGAACCCAGATGTTCAGGTAATTTTTTTGTAGAACATTTGTTTTATGTAATTGTACTTCTAAAGTTGATAATCAGACCAGACCTGATGTTTTAGCAAGTAGGTTAAAAATTGCTTTGAAATTGATAGCAATTTCATAATCAGAGTCGTTATTTTTGTTCAGGTAGCGATTATTGAGCAATCTGTGAGCCCCGGCGGCGGTGCATGGCTGGGGGGACAACTCTTCTCCGCCATGATTGTCCGGAAGCCGGCACACCTCTTCCTCGACGAACTCGAAATCGAGTATGACGAGACAGAACACTACGTCGTGATCAAACACGCTGCTCTTTTCACCTCCACCATCATGAGCAAGCTGTTGGCCCGACCAAATGTGAAGCTCTTCAACGCGGTGGCAGCCGAGGATTTGATCATCAAAGGAGGAAGAGTCAGTGGCGTGGTGACCAACTGGGCTCTAGTGGCGATGAACCACGACACACAGTCGTGTATGGACCCTAATGTGATGGAAGCTAAAGTGGTTGTGAGCTCATGTGGGCATGATGGTCCGATGGGTGCCACCGGAGTCAAGAGGCTTAGAAGCGTAGGGATGATCGAGAGCGTTCCAGGGATGAAGGCGCTTGACATGAACACAGCGGAAGACGCGATCGTGAGGCTTACGAGAGAGATCGTTCCTGGTATGATCGTCACAGGGATGGAAGTTGCAGAGATTGATGGATCTCCAAGAATGGTATATTCAAATTCTTTCTAAATCAATCCTTTGTTTTTCTATATATGGGGGTTCTTCATTCTTCATGTCCTTAACATGTTTGATGAAATTAATGCAGGGGCCAACGTTTGGGGCGATGATGATTTCAGGTCAGAAAGCTGCACATTTGGCGTTGAAGGCATTGGGGCTTCCTAACGCTCTCGATGGATCATACGTCGGAAGCAGCCAGCCGGAGCTGATACTTGCGGCGGCAGACGGTGGCGAGACTGTCGATGCTTGAATGTGGTAGGAATTGAGACTGGGGAATAAGAAGTGTGGGATAGGGCTGTTGCTGCTGCTGTGCTGGTTTTGTTTTATGTGAATGAATGATATGATGCCCTTATCTCCCTTCAATAACAACTTGGTTTTTCCGGTTGTGATTTGGTCGTGTTAAAAACCAGAACCCGAAGAAGTTTCTTTTTTTTTTTTTTTTTTTTTTTTTTTTTTTTTTTTTCAAATGATATAAAATTCTAAGAATTCTATAAATCTGAATTAAAAGCAATCCGGACATATATTGAGTTTATAATCTGTATTGCATTTGGTTGAGTCCAAATCGGAGCGGATCTAGACAAAATTGATGGGTCCACTATTTAATTGGACAGTGCTGTGGTAGTTTTTTACATCAACTGGGCCCAAAGCCCAAAAGGTCCAAAACGACGATGGTGGCAGTCTGAAAACAAAATAGATAGTTACTTTTTCTTGCAAGTTACCACAATAGATAGTTACTTTTTCTTATTCAAAAAAGTGAAAAGTGAAATGGGAGATCTTCTTACAAGTTACATCGATAAATCGTTTTTTTTTTCCTTCGAAATTGAAAAGCCTAATCGGTGAAAAATGAAAATAGAGATGAACATTGAAGTTAGTGGGCCACAAATTAAAGTATACAAAGTCCAATGATATTTTATGGGTTTGCATGACCATAGTGAACAATTTGCAAAACAACAAACACGGACTTTCTTTTCCAAGTCTTTTTTTTTTTTATTATTATTTTTTTTCCTTTTTATAAGCGATTTTTATTCTTTATTTTTTTTTTTCAAAAAGATTTAGGACTTGCAAATCGATTTTTATTAAAGTATACTTCTAGAATGTTTCATTATTTTTTTCAAAAATTGTATATTATCCTCGGTTACAATGTCCGATCTACTTCGTTTTTACATAATCTATCTAAATAATGTACGAATATGTATAATTCTTACTTTTAAAAATGAAAAGAATAAATACTATATAATGATTGGTGGTGCCCTTCTCCTTTGATTTGTATCCTAAAAATATCTCATATTTCATAATTAAAAAAATCTATAACACCCTTAAGATGGTTTAATTTTAGAAAACTAATTAATGTTTTATGTATAAATTACAATGACAATCCTAACTATTTAATTTTTTAATTCAATGGTTAGAATCTAGTCATACATTAATACACTAGTTCTTGATCTATTTTAATAAATAAAAAAACATGTCACATTCTATTCATTTTCTCATACATTATTTTGTGGTAATTTTAAATTAAATTTTTTCCACATGTCATTAGGGTTTTATTTATTTATTAAATTCAACATAATATTAATATTTATATAAGTAATAATTGTAACAAATCCATATATCTGATAATTATTTTTTGGAAATCATGAATAATATATATATATAAAGAGCCCAACATAACAAAAAACTAGGAGGGGCAGAAAAAATACCCAGATTACATACAATGAAATGGAGATGAACTCAAAACATCCCAATTAATCACCTTATTACTTCCCTGATACTTAAGCCATAAAAACATTCACCTTTATGTTGTTTAACATGATCTCCTGTAGGATGCAATAACTTTTGAGAAACGTTTGTTTCTCATCTTTCAGATCAACCAGATTGTTCTGAAGTAGATAAATTGCATGATTCTCCTTTTCTTCATTAAGTTATCCCACTTGGCAGCAAACTTTAGAACTTCTCCGACATTTGTGAATTGTACACCACCAATTCCACACCACGTTAAGACCTTTCCCAACATACTATTCACTAAATACAACCGACTAGTATGTGATATGAGTCTTCTTCACATGTATTACAGGCACTACGGGTCACATATACATTATTTACTCCTCCATGCGCAAGTGTTGTCGACGAAGGGATCCTCCCCATGTTTCATGCCAAACAAATGTATTTACTTTGATAGGAGTTTCTTTCAACCAAATGAACTTTTCACAAGGAGGGCATGAGTTTACCTGATCAAAATCCGTTCAAATCACATCCACGACAAGCTTCCCATCAGGTGCTCTAACATCCCAGAAATCATGACAATTTTTTTTTCATTTTTAAAAGACATTATCCATAAAAAATAAGATAGACAACATTGTTTTCAAAACAAATCCATGGAAATTTGAGTATCAAAATAATCTCTCAAGAAATAAATCAGTTGGAGGATGTGTATGATCACGCCTTCGCCTTGCCCCGATCATCAAAAGTACCTGAAAACATTGAAATCCACAACTATAAGCCAAAACTTAGTGAGTTCCCCCAAAATACCCCACAAAAATAATACATATACAATACATGCACACCAGACCAACAACATAAAACTGGATTGCCCCCCCGAGCCCATAACACAAATACTGGAATCCCCCAGAGTCCACAACACAAAGACTGGATTGACCCCGAGACCATAACATAAAGGTTGGATTGCCCCCAGGTTTGTTGGCCTACAACACAAA